TCCTTGAGACATGGCAGCCTCTGTGTTCTGCTGCCTGCGGTGCTGCAGAAATGGCGGGACGGGCCACATCCCTCTGAAGGAGATGCCGGCCGTGCAGCTGGACACGCAGCACATGGGTAAGGGCCCTCCCTTCCCCAGACCCAACGGCCCACCCCGGGTCGGGCGCGGCGGGACAGGGGCAGTCGGGGGTCGCGGGGACCACACGCGGCCGGGCCTTGCCCGGCTCCGGCCCCTGCTCCCCGCCCTGCGACGCTGCCGTCGACCGGATTTGGCCTCGCGGATTTATCTCCTTAGGACTGCGGCCGACTCCATCTCGGCCCGGTTCCGTGTTCAGGGCTACGCAGCCCTGTTTGCGCTTGTCTTAGGGAGATGTGTGTGTGGACCTACCCATTTTCACAGGAATCTCCTCCGAGCTGCCGCCTCCTGAGACTCGTCCCACGTACATAGGCGAGAGGAGCGGGGAATGTCCTGGTGCTCCTCCTACAGTGCCTGTCCTGCTCCAATCATATCCCACACATTTTCAGAATATTTTAGGTCTGACCTCAGCTGCTGCTTCTGCCCTGACAGCTTTCTCTCAGCCTATTAGTTATCGATTTTATTTGAAACGATTTTCCTCTCACCTTTTAAAAGTCAAAACAAGGCAAATTGCAGAAGCCTGAAGTCACAGCTCAGGTCAGAACTTGTCATTTCAGCTAAAACCTCCCATTGTCCGACTCCTCCTTAGTCACGGTTCGAGGTGTTGTAATTTCATCTGACTGGCCTCTTCCCAGCAGGTCAGGCTATTGCAAAAAATAAAACAGCACTTTGCTCCTTGGCATCTATGTTTTTTCCTTCCAATTTCTGTTCCCCTCTGTAGCCTCTGTCACCACCCTATTACTCTTTCTATTCTTAGGCTGGTCCCATGTAGTTCCCTACTTCTAGAGTATGGTTCGAGGAGAGATTTTCCATTATAGTTATTTCAGAATATTGTGTTCTTGTGGATTATTCTGTTCTAAATATACATCTGCACTTTAGGTTTTTCCCATCTCCCTTTGGCTAAAGGACAGCGCATTGAAATAACAAAGGAAATTTTTAATATTCATAGCAAAACCCTCTTCTGCCCAGATTCTTTATAATTCTAGAAACACTCTGCTCATTATATTTATATAGCATGTACTAAACCACAGATGTGATCATTGTATACCACTTTGTACGTGGGTATTTACTTTTGATTCTTAGGTCTCCCAAGTGTAATACAGAACCTTAATACGTAAATATATGTATGTATACATATATCTCTTTAAATTATTTTTTATTCATCATCATTTATAGACAGCGGATGTTCAAATTCTATGACTTTCCTCAGAAAATGTTTCCATTTCATCTGTTCATTCACTCAACTGATATTTATTGAGTGACTATCAGATGGCAGGCATTGTTTTCGATGCTGGGAATACAGTAAAGGAAAACCACATGTAGTTCCTGGAGCTGTAGCTCTTTCTGTCTCTACTACAAAACTCGTGAATTACTACAATCTGCTCTTTAAAATATACCTTTTCTCTGATCCCTTCTTCCATGAAGAGCTGGTCACTGTACTCATTCCACTATGTTCTCCTTTTTTAAAGCTGCCCAGCATCTTTCAGTAGAGTAATGTCACTCCCCAGTTTTCTACCTGCATGGAAATTTTTTCTTAACCTGTCTTCCAGTAAATTCAAGTTCTTCAGTCACAGAAGTCTGATTTTAGAAACTGAATAATTGGAGAGGCTATCAAGCTAGGAATAGGTTTCAAGCATGAATTGATCTTAAGTTGAAAATATGAGAAGCACACTGAGCAAGTATGCATGTACTTGGATATGTGAAAGGTTTTATTAGATAACCTAAACAATGTGATTGCCTTTTTTTTTTAAAGAAAGTAATCTATTCATTTCATATCCAAAGGAACGTCTTAAAGTTGTCACTTATTTGGGTGATGCTGCATAACTTGAAACCATTTGGAATTCCTCTTGGTATTTTCTGTGGCGTAGTTTTTGTAAATATCTTCATTTTTGCCACAACCTCCGTATGTAATTGTGAATTGACTTTTTAGAAATGAAAGTCTTCCAGGGTAGCTACTTTGAAAAGGATGTCATTCATTTGGAAATACCTAATATTTCTTTAAAAATACACTTTCGCTATGTTTATATATGTTTTGGTTGTACTCAGATTTGTTTTGACTTTCTAAGCAATACTGATAATTAATAAAATTACACAAATCATATAGATCTAGGTATAGGATACATTTATACTGAAAAAGAGAAATGGAATAAGCTTAAAATAATTCCCTAATAATTCACAAACATTCCAGAATGGTCTCTGAATCTATCCATCTTTCTATATAAAACATCTCAGTACCTAGCAGAATACCTTGGAGATAAGAAAATAATACCATATTCAGAGTTGGTTCTGTGGTTCCATCTCAGAGTTATGTATGAGAACCATAGAGCATTTCCGGGTAAGAAAAAAATGCCACTTATTGGCATAATTCTTTGAAATGTCTTTCATTTAAGATGCTTTCAGTTATAAGCAGTTAAACCTGCAACTCAAAATTGTTGAAAGAATGGAGGAAATTTATTGGTTTATGTAAATTAAAAGAGCACACAGGCAGCACTAGCTTCAGGAAAGACCTAGCGCTGCCAAGGACTGGGCTTCTTTTCATCTCTTTCTTCTGCTTTCTGCTACTTATTCCTGAAGGCTGATGTCCGTGATAACTTGCAGCCTCTCCATGGGCTGTAGGCTTCCTCATTCAGGTCCAGCAAGAATGAGTGAGTCTGTTCCTTCATTCTCTCTGCAAAAGTCCTGAGACTATCTGTGATGGTAGTGGTTTAGGTCGTATAAGTGGTTTTTACCCAGTCACTGTGGCCAAAAAATGTGGAATGCACTGATTGCCTTAACTTAGGTCAAAGCTGTACCCCTAAAGCCGGAGATTGAGTAAGCTTCCTTGGAACTGTTTTGATCTCCAGGGGGAAGTCTGTTGGGAAAGGGAAAACAGATACTACATGTCCACTACAAAGTGCTTAGCAGAGCATATTCATTTATTTCTGTATCAGTTATTTGTCGAGCGTCTGCCGGATACCAAGTACTCCGTGGTCTTTGCCATCAAGGAGGAGTTGGGCCCTGGATGCTCTCCAGTTGAAGCTGCTGGAGGCATATAAGACAGCCAGATGTAAATTATGTATAAAGACACTCTCCCAGAATTTGGGGTGTAACGTTTGTAATTAGAAAAAAATGAATACTAATGAATTTTTAATAATTATATAATAGGATCTTAGTTTTATCTTATTTAAGAGAGTATCTCTCTTATATTAACTAGTTTAGAATTGTAATGGAATCAGAAAATTTGGTATTTCTCTTATGTATTTGTCCCAAATAATTTTTTGTTTAAGTATGAATTCAACAGTGACTTAATGAGAGACCAGCCTCCCTGTTAATATCTTTTGTTTCTATGCTGTAGTTTTATTTAACCCCCACTGGAGGAGTTCCCTACAGTTTTCATAGCCAGATCTACTTGGCTTGTACACTTAACCGCCAGCAAAGTCATACTGGTCAAAGATCTTGGGAGTCACATGCCTTGATGTTATGGGATATTTCTTGCATATTAGAATTATGTTAAGTTCCTTCATGTTCTCTGATATACATGCTTTCCTAATTGGAAAAGAATTGGTATTGGAGTCACATCATCAAGAGACTGTTTTTCTCACTCTCATCTATCACATTATTTGAGCTAAACTAAAAATTTTGCATGAGAATAAAATGCATTTAATGATGTTAAAACCTCATTTACATATTTGCAATGTGATTGACAGCAGCTATCTTGTAAGATCCAAAAATTAGCATTTTTCCATGTCAGCTCTTTAAACATGGATGTATGTTCCTTTTTATATCTCACTAATCTTCAGTGCTTACTTGACCAGTGCACTAGCATCGGGCTTTGTACCTAGTAGACATTCAGTCAGTTTTTAATAGATTGTTTTAATTCATTTGAATTTTATTGAAAATTGTACTGATTTGCCAAAGTTTAAGTGTTTTATGTTTTTAATTAAATTAAGAGATTTATGAAATCATCAAATTGATTCATTGGCTAAAATTAGAGAGTCTACTTCTACTTTAAGTGTTTAAATATTCAGTATAATTCAGAGTTATCACTGTGTATTTGAAACTGCCTAATTAAACACGATTTCTAGCCGTAAATTAATATTAAATATAAATGTTCTTCCAGGGGGAAAAGTGAATTAAATATTTATATAATTTATCAATATTTTCGTATTTCAGAGCATGTATAGTGGCCCTATTTTTTGTAGACCAAAAATTAAAAGTGAAACAGAAATTGACCTTGACTGTTGGATAAGAGAATACGAAACTTTACATGGTGTCTGTATTTTTTGTTCAGGAACAGATGTTGTCATTGTAAAAAATGGAAGAAGAATATGTGGAACAGGAGGTTGTTTAGCCAGTGCACCTTTACATCAAAACAAGAGCTACTTTGAATTCAAAATCCAGTCCACAGGTTGGTATAATGGTACTTTACTACTATAAGTCCTAATTATTCTATTAGGATTAATTTTCAATATATGAAAAACCTTAATGAGGTAATAAAAAAGCACTAAACTCTTACTTAGAAGATGTTTTTCTTTCACCTCCTGTTGTGCAATCCTGGTTTAATTAGTTAATTTAGTTAAATTACGTTCAGTTTTCTCATCTATGCAATGGATCACAGGAGCTGCTCTTTCTGCATCACATGAACCATATGTATAAAGCGTTTTAAAGACAGGACATACTGGATCAGTATAAGGCGTGAGCATTATTATTAATATAGTTAATTATTAATGGCAGCTAGATAAGCATTTATGATGTAGACTCTTGCTATTTTATCTTAGGATAAAATTAATCTTATGGTTTAACTCTTGATAAGATTCCCTGATTCCATGTTTTTGGAAGCAATTGGCAGACTTAGAAATCTGCTAGAAGTCTAAATAAAGACTCTTAAAATTTATGAATCTGTACACCTGTAAATCAACTTTTCTTCAATCAAAAATTTTTTAAACTGAAGTTTCTTGAGTTGTAGGGCAATTCTACATGAGTATTACTGACAGTTATTAATGAGTTAACTTGTGGCAGTGTTGACTGTGGGGAAACTTTTCTAAGGCTTTATTATAAGAAACTTCTCGTGAAAAGTGGCATGAATGATATAGGTACAGAATGGGAAAACTTGAGTGGAGTAAATTAATTCTACTCTTACTCTTACTTGAGAATGACATAAAACATCCCTCTGGGGCTTGTTTTTTAACCTCATTTTAAATACTGATTTTCTTAAGTATGTGAAAGAAATGTGAATCTGTCCTCCATTCTCTTGTAAATTAACTCACTGGCTGTGAAATGTCTCTGGTTACTGTGATCTCAAGAATAACATACCCTTTCTCAAGAGAAGCAAATATTTCCTTGAGCATTAAATCTGATACAAATTTTTACATGGATTTTCTGTAAAGGAAGGGATCCTCAATGATATCTCTGAAATAAATTCATTGTTGGAATTTGTAGCATTCATCTCTCAATAAAAGCTTCAGGCATTTGTGCCAAAGTATATCGCAGTGTGCACAGCTCTTAGGAGGAAAGGTGGTACTGTTAGAATCCATAGTTCACAAGTGAGGAAGCAGAGAGAGATGAAGTAACGTGCCCCAGTGACACAGCAAAGTCAGCATTTAGACCAAGGTAGTATGACTCCAGGGCCCACTCTCTTACTGCTCAGGCTGTGCTACATCTGCAGAGAACATAGTGTAGTTTACAAACTACTTTTAAAAGATTTTTTTTTTAGAGATTAACAAAAAATAGTTTAGTGATAATACACCACTTTCATTAAAAACAATTTACACTCTTGAAACAACTGCTTTCATATTTGTATTCTTCAGATTTGGGGAACATTTAAACTATTATGTTTTTAGGAATCTGGGGTATTGGCGTTGCAACCCAGAAGGTTAACTTGAATCAGATCCCTCTTGGCCGAGATGTGCACAGTCTGGTGATGAGAAATGATGGCGCCCTGTACCACAACAACGAGGAGAAAAACAGGCTGCCAGCAAACAGCCTTCCACAGGAGGGAGATGTGGTGGTGAGTTTCCTTGTGGCGTTTGTTTTCCACCGTAAATTATTAAACTTGAACTGCTTCTAGTATATTTAGTTTTCCCTGGGAGTTTGTGGTTTGAATTCCAGAGCACCGGGATTGGATCGAATGAGGTAGTACATTTTCCAGAGAGAGCGCTGATGTGGAGGCTGCTGCCTTACCTCACTGCCCTCTCCTTTCTCCAGCCGCCACTGGCCAGGAAGATCAGCGTGAACCCTTCTTTCCACTTAGGAGAAATTATGACGGGTTGGCTGCTGATGAACATTTCCTGCTTCTCTCACATAAAAGAAATCTTGGCCCACAATTGTAAGAATTGGTGACCCTTTATTAGAAAATATTAGGTATTTTTGCAGCTGGAGACCTCTTAGAGAAAATTTTGACATTTACTACTTAACTTGTTATGATCTTCTGTTAAAGAATTAACAGCATTTTATCAAGAGTGTTGGTCCTCGTTAAACTTACACTTTTAAAACTTCCTTCACTTTCAGAACTCTTCAAAGAACTGGACTCAGAATCCTAAGCCTTGATTGTAGAAAAGTTTTTTTTGGAAAACAGAGGATAGGAGGGGATACATATTATTAAGACTTCTTTATTTTTATTCCCAACTATGTACATTTAAGTCTTTACCGAAGCTACAGTACTGAAAATGTAATCCAGAGATCCCTTTCTGTCTTTTCCAGATACTTCCTTTCAAATGGTATTATCCAAAAACCCTACACACTGAGTTCAGGCCATTAGCTATTGATTGAGAACAGGATTCTTGGGGCCTGTTTTAGCAAAGGTGCATTATACACAGAGCCTTGGGTTCCTGGCTCTCGTACCAAGTTGAAAGGAAACTAAATAATGAGGGAGAGTTCCTAATAATAAGATGACACAGACAAAGGAAATCCAGATTATTAAATTAAAGAAATAAACAGTATTTTGGAGACAGAGTGAAGGAAGATGTGAAAATGAAGATTTTTAATTATGGTCTGATCTTTCTCCTCTTTTCTGCAATTTAAAAAACGTGAAGAACAATTTTTAATTAGGTAAATTTTTGAAAGTATGTTTTTCCTAAATTAACTAAAGAAAACAAGGAAACTAAAGGCATAAACCATTTTAAAAATCTGCTTTCCCCTATTCTTCTTTTGAATAGTTGGCTCTGAATTTGTAGATCATTGCCAGATGTCCATAATATGGAACACCCTTACTGAAATGGTTATTTCTTGAAAGAGAATCTTGAAGTCAAGTTAGTGCCATCAACCTGTTTACACTAAAAAATGAAATTCAAACATAAAAAAGGATAATCAGTAACAAATGTTTTTCTTTGTTGATGTGCTGAACTTCTGCTGTGTGTTGTTCTTGCCCTCCTAACTCATTCCTTGAGATGACTGATACCTCAAATTGACAGAGTTAAGAATGTCGTTTTTAGTCTGTCAGCATTATTAAATTAGACTTTGAGCTTTTATGCCCATTCTAATAAAAGGAGGACTCAGAAAGATGAAATATATGCAGGATCCTGAAAGGTAAAATATTATCCTACCATATTAACTTTGTCTGCCTAGTTCAAACACCTGAGAACAAATTTCACCAAATTACTGACAATGGCATAAGACAAGTGAAATGGATTATAAGACAGGAAAAACATTCTCATATGTGTAGAAGTTCAGTCATGTACCATTCTCTGAGGAGAAATCAAGAAAAATAAGCTTTCAACATCTAACCAAATGATTACAGGATAATCATACAGTACCTCCTACAGCTCTCCAGTACCCACTGCAGCACTCGGGGCGCACACCCGGAACAGCTTGTGCTTTTTTGACCCTTATCAATACAGTTTTGAAGAGTGCAAATTACATTTTAAAATTGCAGTTTTCAGTTTAATTTTAGAGAAGTTTTACAAACATTCTATGTAATAATAACAGCAGCAAACACTTCTCTAGCATCTGTTATGGGCCAGGTGCTCCCTTAAATTGTTTATTCCTCATAATGACCCTGTGAAATAGGTGGTACCATTATTACCATTTTACAGATCAAAGGGAAATTAACTTCTTATTTGGAATGATCCCAGGATTACAGTATGGGCAGTCGAATTTCAGAGTCTGTTCACCAAACCTGCAAACAATTATTGATAAACCCTTAGAACATGTCGAATATTTGGTATCATTATGACAGAATCAAACTTAGTTTCTAGATCATGTAAAAGGACAGATTAAGTTAGAAAATACTTGAATTTAAACTCTGCTGATGGAGGGTGGGGGTTCTTACATCCTTTCTCACTTCTTTCTTTGGGGTTGGGGATTGGTGCAGGAGGCTGGGGTTTGAAACTTACCTGAAATAGGTTATGCTGCCACCAGGTGGGAAAGGGTGATGGGGTTGCAACCTGCTGATCTGAACTGCTCGATTTCCTGTAGTCCTATAAAGAGAGTAACACACTTTGCAGTTTCTGTAAATACGTTTTTATTTTTAAAGTGAAAACAGACTTCTTTATTAAGTAAGCTAATCCTAGCTGTCATTTAGCTTTATTATTATATTTAAATACATAAACTGAAATGAAACAAACACACTGTTTATCTTCCTCAGTGTTTAGTCTAAACCCTGGCTTTGCTAAGATTTGAGGAGACTCTTTCATAGCACTTAACACATTGACTTATCTGGGCCTTTGCTGTCTTAACTGGAAAGTGAGGGCATTAAGACTAGGTCATCTGTAAGATCTTTTTCTATTTCTAAAAGCTTTTAAGTTCATATAATTTATCCAGAGTCAGAAATCCTTGAAGTGATTGCTTCTTGGTCTGTGATGATTTCTCTATTGAAAGGTCTCCACTACCTATTCTTAATTCTTCAAAAGAAAGCTCTCTTTTTGTCATCAATTAGTAACTATTGTACAAAGTTTTAAGCAGAGTTTTAAAAGTTGAAAAGTTTTAAAAAGTTTTGAATTGCATGGCAATTAAGAATAAGTATTCTGAAACCATACTTCATAGGTTTAGATCCCAGCTCTCCCACTTCCTAGCTGTGCAACCTTAGGTAAATTATTTAACCTCTCTGTGCTTCAGCTACCTCATCTATGATAAAATGGGGATGATAATAATACCTATCTTGTTGTGAGCATTAAATGAGTAAATATGAAGCACCTGGGATAGTGCTTGGTACATAATAAAGGTTATTAAAGTGTTTTCCAGCATTTTTATAACAATAATTGTTATCAATTATGATGTTTGTACCATTAATAATGTACAAAGTAATACATTTTTATTCTATTGTCTTTTTAAAAATCTTTTGAGCTGTTTTTCTGTTTTCCAGTTTGATACTAATTACCAATTCTATGCAGTTGTGAATACCAGCTTTACCTTGGTAATACACTTGGCATATTTCAAACCAAGGTAAAGAGTTACAGAAATATATTATTTCTTTTTGGAAATAAGTTGTATAAAGACAACTTGTCACAGTTGAAAACACTGACAGGTAATAATCTCTAATGGCGAAAACTTCGTTGTTTTCCCCCCAAAGATCAATTCTGCATGTAGAGAGTAGTGTTTTCTCTATGAGTTTAAAAGGGCTTTCTGCTTAACAATATGGAAGCACTTACATCATTTTAATATTTAAAATATAAAATCCAGATTATGTGAATATAATACTAGGATTTAAACTGATCTCATTAGTTTTACCTCTAATGTGGACTCGGGATTTTACCTTTCCCCCACACCACGTAATCACCACCAATTTTTTTGGCTCAGTTCAGGCACAATTCTACCAAGTTGTAAAACCTTAGTAAAAGCGAATGTGACATTTTGTTTATTTTTTTTATTTCCATGCTTCCCAGTCAGTGCCTTCTGACTATTTGGTTTTTATGGAACATTTCTATTTTTGCCCTTTTTAATATTTACTTTGCTTCCTAGGGTATTACATATGACCATGTAGAATTAAATGTGTATTTGAATGGAAAAAACATGCATTGTCCAGCATCAGGTATACGAGGGACCGTGTATCCAGTTGTTTATGGTAAGCTAAAATATTTCTAAATATTATTAAACATGTGTTAACTTTTGCTTGGCATTTTCATTTACTTTAAAACTATCATTTGGAAATCTGGACAATTAGGACCTTTGTGTATGGAATGTACTCTCTGTAGGTTATCACAGTCCCACTTTTCAGGACTAAGGAAGGTTTTTATTCCCCATGTATTTAAAAAATAAACTTGCTAAATACAGTGATTATACTTAAATATGTAATAATCATATTCCCTTTTACATCATGTAGTCTTATCTTCTAGAAAGTTCCAAAAAACTACAGAATTTACAAAAAGATATTTCTACCAGTTATTAGAAAGGGTTAGATGACCAGGGAATGTAACTATAAAGAATATTTTGAAATTAGGGATGGGAATTTCATATATGAGCATTGAGCATTAATTAACCTTTATAAAATTACCCTAATGTTAAAACTCTTCCAAGAGAAATTATAATGTAGAATGGTTTCATATTGATTGTTTTGCTTTTGATAACCATGTACTGTAGCTTCTATGCAAGTATGTCTCTCCAAAACTTGGGTTTATTAGAGATGACTCTGTACCACTTACTTTCATTTTTATTACAGAAAATTTGAAACATGTATGGAAGTAAAGAGAATAATGAACCCTCACGTACCCATCACCCATTTTCAAACAATTATCAGCTAGTAGTCAGTCAGGTTTCATCTCTTCCCAACATGGTCTTCACCTCTCCTCCTTGTATTATTTTGAGGCAAATGCCAGACATATCATTTTATATGTATCTCTAAAATATAAGGTATCTTTCTTTGTGAAAAAATATACATAAGCTCAGTGCCTTTATCACTCTATTCTGGTTCATTTTTTATATTATCAACTTTAAATCAACAGGTGTATAATTCTTCTGCCTATAGTTTTAGTAGATCGAAAACATTTTCTCATTTAATTACTTTAAGTTCTTAGACTAGAGCCATAATAAAAACTAACTTAACTTTTTTGTAGTAACTTACTAGAAAAGTAGCAGTGCTTTTTGGGGATGGCAGAAAAGTATACAATAACAAATACAAATATTTAGTAATTTCAGAATAACAACCAAAGCCTGTGCTTCACTTTTCAGTTAAGGTTTTCATTAATCTTCTTTTCTCCTAAATATTACTTTTCAGTGATTTTACCTTTCTGTGTCTTTGCATATAAAAATAAATTATTAAACGCAACAGGATAGTTTCCTTGCAATATTGGGTAAGCCTAAAAGAAATATCTTTATTGTAGCTTAATATTTAATGTAGCTTAATATTCATAATAGTTTAGCCTGAGAAATGAAATAAAAATTAGTAGAATGAGTTATACAAATGAGAGTAGCAAATGAGTTTTTTATTCTAAATTGTTTCCTTGATTCAGTATTATTTTTAACATAATAAAGTTAAAGATAGCAAATTACATATAGTAAATTAAATTGATATAAATCAGTCCAATTAAATCAAATATTTTAATAGTCCAATACTCTCAAAGATGAAAATGAAATTCAGATTCCCTTTCCATTTGTCGTCTATCCCACCCCTAATCCTGGATCCTTCCACCGCTTCACTGAAACCACCGTTGTTAAAATCACTAGTGACTTCATGAATGTCAAACCCAGTACTTAACTTTTTTCTTCTGCATTTATTATGAAATATAAAATATTTAGTAATGTGCATTAAACATATATGTGCAGTTTAACAAATGGCTGTAAAGTGGGCATCCATATTACTATAGTCAAGATAATGAACATATCAATCACCCCTAAAAGTTCCTTTCTGCTCCCTTATCATTTTTCCTGCTCACCTCCCCCCACCCCATCCCAGGAAGCTACTGTCTGCTTTCTGTCACTACCGATTATGCGTTTTTAGAGTATTATATAAATAGAATCATGCAGTTTGTATTCTTTTTGGTCTGGCTTTTACACTAAGCATAATTCTTTTAAGATTCATCTGTGTTCGTAGTAGCATAAATCAGTAACTCATTTTTATTACTGAATAATATAGCTCATGGTGTGGATATATCACAATTGGTTTTTTCCCTCACCTGTTAGTGGATGTTTAGGTTGTTTTTCAGTTTGAGGCCATTACAAATAAAGCTGCTGTGAACATTCATATACAAGTCTTTGTATGGATCTGTGCATTCATTTCTCTTGGGTAAATGCTGGTTATAAGGCCTGCAGTCTAGTTAGTAGTATTGTATTAACGTTACTTTTCTGGTTTGGGTATTGTTCTGTCGTTGTATAAGATGTTACTGCTGGGGGAAGCCAGATGAAGGGTACACAGGACTAACTGTATTATTTTTGCTACTTCTTGTGAATCTATCATTTTTTTAATAAAATATTTAAGAAATAATTCATCTTAATATATAAAATTGAGAAAATATAGATAGGTAAATAAGGAAGAAACTCAAATTACCCATATTTACATTATCTAGAAATAATTATTAGTAATATTTTGATATTTTGATTTCCTTTCAGTGTTTTAGGTAGATTTTATTCTTTGTTTGGAAATTTTTACCCAATAGGATCATGTTTTGTAACCCAGATAGCAGATGTGTTTGTTCTTCTTGCCTATTAACATTACTGCATTATGAAACAGTTAATTTTATAATTATGTATTCATTCAAATTAAGGTGTTTGCTTCTAATTTATTTTCTTTCTTTTTCTATCTCTAGTTGATGACAGTGCAATTTTGGATTGCCAGTTCAGTGAATTTTATCATACTCCTCCACCGGGTTTTGAAAAGATACTATTTGAACAGCAGATCTTCTGAATGTATTTGTTTTTGAAACTTGTATTTCTGCGCTGTTTAAAGTGTTTACCATTTAATAAAGCTTTATTTGACCTATAGATGAAAATATATTCTTAAAAATATGCCTGTTAATATTGTCTAAGGAACCAATGTATACAGTATATCACCCTGAAGTTGTGATTTAAAATACTTAACGTTTTGTGATATGAAATCAGCGTTTGGGGCACTTTATTTAATTCTTATTTAAATAAATATAAGTATGGGTTTGGTTAACAGTATTAAGTGGAAAAATGCACATAGATTTAAAAGGGAATCTTTCTTATGTAAAATATTTGTTTTGATAGAGATGTAGAGTGGGGTGGGTTTTTTGGTCGTTCTGAAGTTTAGACCTCACTAATAATTTTAAGTCTACAGTACAATAATTTTGTGTCTCAGTGTCTTTTTTAAATATAGTATAACAAGTGACATATATTATTGGCAACTTCATTTTTGGCTATTTATTTGCTATAAAATGTATTACTTTTCTTAACATTTTAATTGCTTATTTTGTCTGTATGTCATTGCTTTTAATTTTCTTTGTGAAAGGAGCTAAATGTTGTAGTAATTGTCAGAGCATTTTGTTGAAGACCTTCATGCCTCTTTACTTCGATACCTGAGTAAGTAGTGGTTGATTGGTGATGTGTACACGGCAAACGTTAGAATAGTATAATGCTTTAAACATAAATGTAAATGAGATTATTCTTTTAAGGACTTTTATTTAAATGTGCATTTTTCTGTAAAGAATAAAATAATAGTAATTAAGGAATATTCAGTACTATATTAAATATATGTCCTTCCTGTTTCGTTAATTATACAGTAAATTCATTTCACCCTTGATTATTTCAGAAGTTCATAAATAAGTGAATCCTCTCCATGACCCTGAGCCTTTGCCTAGTTTTCAGGAAGAATCCCTGTTCTTTAGATAACACCCCACTTAACTGAATGAATGATTGTACATATCTTTGGTACAATCTCCTTTCCAGATGAGCGTGCCAGCGACACGTACACCTCGCTCTTCTATCAACAGGGAGCTGTGTGTTGTACTAGAAGAACGTGGCTTTAGGATCAAGGGAGATTTGATTTGTAGTTTTGCCACTTGATCCCTTTGTCTCTTCAGGCAAGTTCCTCAGTCTCTCTGAGCACAGGTTCCCCATATATAAAAGGGATAATCATACCTGCTTGGTAAGATTCTGTAACTGGTTAAGTAAGGTAACATGGGTAGGACACCTTCATTACCATAGGCACTTAATGAATGTAGTATCTTTGTTGACCCTGCTCAGTGGTTTTCATAGTGTGGCCTCAGACCAGCAGCAGCAGCGTCCCCTGGAAACTAGTTGGACGTAGACGCTCTCGGGCCCCACCCCAGACCCACTGAATCAGAAACTGCTGGGAATAGCAGGAATATGTGGTTGAACAAGCCCTTCAGGTGATTCTGATCCACGCTGAAGACTGAGAGCCACTGCTTGGGAGAGAATTCTTTGAGAATGATTGCCTGCTATAAATTTTCTAAGGATTTAAGATTATTTTTGACCCATAGACAAGAGAATACTACACAATATTTATTGTTCATTTGGTAGACAGAAACATGACAGTTTGTTTTGAAAACGTAGATATATTTAAGTAACATTTATTTACATAAATCCCAGATTTACTTCTGTAGATATATAGACTTGAACTAACTACATTATTTACGCATTTTTGTCTGACTTGCTGACTTAGTAATTTTAATTCATAAAGAACATGCTTACTTGGGAAAGAGAATATGACTACTGTTTGCTCTCTTTATAATGTTATCTACCTCTTAGTTGTTTTTTTAAAGCCCACCTTTTTTTTAAATCATCATTCTTTTCTCAAGACTATCTTTGCTACCTCTAATCATTCAGACTAGGAAAAGTACCAAAAATGGTACATGAGTTATGTCCATGGCAACAGTTTGATGATATCTAGATATGTTTTTAATCTGTAGGTATCTAATTTCTCTTAGGAAAATTACCTATAACTTCAGTCTAATCTTGAGAAAAATATCAGACAAATTCCAGTAGAGGGGCATCCTACAAAATACTTGAGCAGCACTCTGGACTGTCAAGGTCATCAGAAACAAGGAAAATCAGAGATACTGTCACGCCCAAGGGGAGCCCAAGGGGACATGACAAGTCAATGTCATATGTGATCCAGGAGCAGAAGGACATTAGGTAAAAACTAAGCAAATCTGAATAAACTAGGCTTTAGTTAATAATGCTATATCAGTATTTGTTTATTTGTACATTTGTTACAACAGATGTACCATAATAATGTAATATGTTAATAACAGGAGAAACTGGGAGAGGGGATATGTGGGAATGCTCTGTACTATCTTCTCAATTTTTCTGTAAATCTAAACTGTTCTAAAAAAAAAAATAAAATCTATTAAAAAGAAACTACATTGAGCTAGGAGAAACAAAGCCTTTCTTGAAGCCAACAGAATATTAGTATGGTATATATCCGTGGCTTAAGTATTCAGTGACAGCTAAATGTAAGATGTAGATGGGACGTAAAACATTCTTGTATTTTAACACACAAAAACCTGCATTTGTTCCTGGCTGAAGAGACTGTCCACTGTCTTGATTGTGTTTATTGCAAAAATCCATTTGTTCACATTGCTGTAGCTTTTTATACTCACATTGAAAGTTAATCAGTGATTGATTATCCATGTTATTATTTCAGTGATTTAGACATTGCAAGGGATTTGCAATATTAGATAATGTGAAACAATGAAAATCTCATAAATAATGATTTTACACATTAAAAACCAGAAAAAGAGAATTTGACTTTTAACTGCCTTTGGCTCACTGTTAAGGTTATTTGAATATATTTGCAACTTGGATTACAAACTATCATAAGTTAATTTAAGAATGGTACAAAATATAATTTGAATTAAGTCTTTTCTAAATCATTGACAAAAACAGACACATGTATTATAGTGTTGCTCATGTCTACTTTTTACTGTATGTTTAGTAATGTGAGTCTAGATATGGACCAGCAAAAGCAGAGCTGGGAATGTCAGTGAAATCTTAGACTGATCTTGATAAAATACATTAAATGAATAATTTCTTTTAGATAATGTAAAAACACTAGATTTTGTATGAAAGTCTGTAATCAAAACTGCAGAATTTCCCTGTGCACGTATATAACCAAGTATATTACTCATAAATGGAATATAATCAACTACCAGTTACATTAATTTGCATTATTTATGCAATAGTAGGGAAATACTTTGGGGAGTTAACTGAGCTGTTCATGTGAATGAGTAGAAACATAATAGAATCAATTAACTATCAATCTTCCATTTACCAAATAGGATATAAGACTCTGTTTCTACCTACTCTTTTAAAATAACTGGGACCAAATTATTGAAATAATGGGTATAAACACAATGTTAAAATAAGCAATATAAATTAATCACCCACTATCCAAGAGTTCTATGGAAATTTAAAGGAAAAATTGTCCCAGTATTGGCAGAAATGTGTAATCTGTAGTTCCATGGGAATCATTACAATGTAGTGATTCAAAAATTAAATCATTTGTGTGTTATGTTTCATAAATACTTAAACACAATAGTCCCAGCCCTCAAGGAACTCTGTTAATTGTAATTCATTCGTAAGTTTGACTCTACAATACCAGAGATGTATTGATAAATGAAAAAAAAGTTGTTAAATATTTGTATGTACATGATTCATTTTAAAAAAACTAGAGCCTTAGGTATAGGAAAAAATATATAATATACAACAAAAATTATCTTGGGAATAAGATTACAGGGAACTAGCTCTTCTATTAACAAATTTATCTGATAAACTTGTTTTTACAATAAACATACTGTCTGGGAAAAAAATAATTTTAAACAGTAAGAGGAAAGAAGGAGTGACTCTGGAGGAAGCCCTGTACACTAGAGAATGATGGATTTTACATTCATACCTAGAAATCTAAAAGGCTGCAGTAGAATCACAACTTAGTTAATTACAGGATAAAATGTGTTTCATGGCAACTTATTTTAAAGGATTCAGAAATTTAAGCTGATGCCGTGCCTGGCACCACTATAAACCGGATCCCCAGGCCAAGGAAGTAAGTGCTAGCGAAGCCCCTTGTGGAGTAGACCAGTGCCAGGGGACCCTGCACTGGAAATCAAGGACAGTGATAAACCAGTGAAGGCTGCCAGGCTGCCGAGCATCTGCTTGACCAACCCATGCATGCATGAATGAATGGTCCTTGAGGACACTGGGAATGTTGGGGGAAAAAATTCAATCCACTGGGCTATTGAAGCCAAATGCTAATCAATATAAAAAGTAGACTGGAAGTCAAAAGAATCTACAGATTGGTGTGTGATTCTCACAAATGTATTTCAGGAAAGACCATCCTAGATGTGTTTCAGATATCTGATGGTTCATGGCTTGATAAAAAAAAAATGGGTAGATTTATTCTCTTTTGCTTTGGAGGCAGAATTATTGGAAGGTACAGGGAAGCAGATTTCCGTTTAAGATGGAAAAGAACTTTCCTATTTAGTTCCCTGCTGAAATTGCTGCCTCACAAGAAATGAACTTCTGGTCCCTGAAATTGTCTTAACAGTTGTTTTTAAAATGTAGGTTTTGTTATTGTTCAGGTATGATGAGCAGGAGACTACTGCCATTGAAAAAGATGATTTGTTACAGTTCCCAAGTGGAGAGGGCACACCATGCCACACAGAAACCCACGGGTAAGCATCAGGGTTGGTCAGGAGGCAGAAGGAGCTATGGGAGGCATGGGCATGAGGCTTTATTGTGATTTCCTTTGGTTTGGCTAGTTTAAATAATTTTATCAGGCTTTGGGGTCTAGATGTTGTCTCAAATTGTCTGGTACCTGGTCCTGCAGTGAGTAAGGCGGGAATATTGATTGACATGGGATGTAAAAACCAGATAGAGAAAGAGGGGCCTCTGAATTGGTTGATTTGCAAATGAAAGGCACGCCCCTGGGGTGAATTGTTTGCAGTCTCTAGGACTTCACTAACCCGTCAGTGAGGCCCCAGTAAAGCATCAAGAACACAGGAAATAAGGAAACATCATTAATACCCAGGCTGGATGACTATCCCAGAGATCTTGTAAATATGGTTCCTGCCTGGTTAGAGACTGAAGTAGATGTTTTTCAAAACTCTCTGATTGCAATTCATTTACACTGTTGCCAAGTCTCCAAACAAGTTAAATTGAAAACAAGGAATGGGAGAGGCAGGATCTCCAGAGATCTGTACTAGGACTTAGGACATTAAAATTTATATTAATTCTGGAAAGGGGGAGTTGATACTATCGCTTATAGGAATGTAATGCTATTTCAACAGGGTGAACGAGGTTTCACACAGTTCTATGAGTAGACAGAAGTGACGAGAGATGAACAAGAAACTGAGATTGTATATTTGGGGATAAATTGTAAAAACTGTGAATATGGTGGTCTCCTTATTCAAGATCAGAAAAAGATCTCTGAAGTTCTAATCCAGTGTGTGGTCATAATCAAATGCATGTGTAAAACGCTATTATGAGGAAGGGTTTTCAAAATTAAGCAGACAGTCTCCCAAAACGTGTCCTTCCTGACCTGTGTTTGGTTTGTTTACTGCATCACAGGTGGGGTGAACTTGGACTTGCTGTCAAATTCCAGAATGCTAGTAATTAAGGCAATGACCCTTGAAACTAAAAAAAAAAAGGAATATTTTGAAGCAAAAGGTTCCATGTTATTTTCACGCTGTGTAAGGAACAGGTTTATTCCACCCAGAGATGGTATAGGGACACTTAGTTTTGAAACTGAATTGTTAAGCAAGAAGGCATCTTGGAGACCATTTGTCCGAATCCTCACTTACCACATGGGGAAAGTGGCCCAAGAGAGATTAGGTGTCTTGGCCAAGATGACAGCAAAATCCAGGTAATTCAATATTCATTAAATAAATATAAGCACTTACTCTGTCAAGTGCTGTATAAAGTTCATTCTGCCCCGTTATGAAATTAGATAAATCTATGAACAATTTCTAAAGGTTTTTAAAGGGTTTTTGATAGAAGCTAGAAATTTAGAACATATCCTTTTTAACGTTGGTAATCTATCTGAAAGATAGTTTAGCAGCCCTACAAAACATATCTTCATAAAACCACCTAAGACTGAACAAAAGCCAGTATAGACCATTAGACAGATTCACAGTTGATTACCCTTACTTGGTGGTTAGTGCCTGTAGAGGTGCCAGAAATGATGAGATAAATATCTACCTTTTGGATTATCTATGTGACAGCTCTCCATTAGTGCAAATAAACAGACTTGCTTTTTCTGGCATCCCAGTGACAATATGTCATGGTAACCGTAAGCTAGAACCATTGGGATTTATTTCACATGCCTTTGTTTGGGGGACTGGGTTTGCTAAAGAAAATATTTAATTTGAAGAACTCTCATTCCTTCTGCAGAATTAAATTTTTGAGAAGCAATGATTCAGAAGTCTTTATAACATAAAAAAAAAGAGAAAAATAAAGTTTTAATGCCCACAAAAGGAGCTCAATACAAGCACAATTGCTTGAGTAAACTCGACCTTTGCTTAAAATGACTACTGATTCAGGTCTGATAGATTTGCCTTGGAGTAAAAATGGATCTAATCTGTTAATACAAATGTATTTTAATCTATTTTAATGGCCATTAAAAATTGACAATTTGGGACTTTGAGCTGATTTGTAGTTTAGCTTTTCCTGTGATCTGCTTCTAGTCAACATAGAGTTTCCTCAAGTGTGTCCAAAAAACACCAATTCTACAGGATGTTATTAGATATCCTGCAAAAATGTTTCAAAGGGCCAACTAATTTAGGAAATTTTACATCTATTTACTGTAGGACTTCAGAGAACCAGCTGGTTACCAAGAGAGGGAGACAGAGTGTGCAACATCACCTAGGCCTCTAATCAAAGAACTCTTTTTCTTCTGAATGGGATGCTAGGGAATACTTTAGCAAATACTCGCTAGTGAATTCAGGTTATTCAGGAAAATAATTGAAAGCTGGCTGTAGGCATAAGTAATATAACTTGCTTCTGCATTTCAGAGGGACCGCAAAAGAAGATAAAATGATTGATCATGAACTATCCGCCCAGCAGTGTTGTAAGACTTTACATCTATTCACTCATTTCACATTCAGAACAACCTTATAAGGTAGGTACAATCGCCACCATTTTATAGATACAGAAACTGAGTTTATGTGGCCAAGAGGAGGCAGAATGAGGATTCAAACTCACGCTTGTTAACTACTTCACTATATGGCATTTCACTGTTCTTAGATGCAGTGTCAGACTGCTGGTCGCCTCCTGGTATCTGCTCTGTTTTACTCCTCTTTAGTAATAGAATCTTCCATTTTTAGCCAACCACATGACTATAGGGAATACTGACAATATTTCCCAGCCTC